GGTTGTAGTATCTAGTAAGTAATTAATATTGTATTTCTTTCTAAATATAAGTGTTATACTTTATCCATAACTACTATTGCTGAAAGCAACAGATAAGTTATAAGCTAAGGTTTGGCTCTTGTGCTAAAGTATTCAGTAGCATAAGCAAAAAAGTTATTTGTTAGTAGCTAAAATTGGTTTGAAATAATTCTTGTGAGAAGATTTTCTAAAATTACTGTTTCTAAAGTTGTAAATCATTTAGGTTTGCAGCCTTTAGGTAAGTAATTTAGTTTTGGAGAAATATGAATCTAGTCTAGAAGAATATATTTATTAGCAGAAGTTAATTGTTCAAGAAATAAGATTTGTTTAGTATAAAGGAATTATAGAAATTATTGTATTGAAGAATATTTTCTAAGGTCTGAAATAGTAGTAGGTTGTCTATTGTTAATATTTGTTAAAATAAAAATGTTTAGATAATTAAAAACTAAGATAATTTTAAAGTTTGTTAAATTTTTATTAGAGCTATCAATTTAAGATTATGAATGTTGTAAAATATTAGTTGTAGATCACAAATTATTTTGGAGTTGTTGTAATCTAATCTGAGTAGTGATGTCTAAGAGCTCTGTATCACTAAGTTAATTAAAAAATTTGAGATATAGTATTGAAATTGAATATTCCAAATATTTTTAATTCTATAAATGTTATGATTGAGTAGGGTACTATTAGGAGTTGTTAAGGCTAAGTTGGCTTTATACTTAGCAACAGTAAGATATGAGCTAAGCATTTTGTTGCATATTGTTTGATTGAGTACAATATTGTATATATAGTATTTTAGAATAGGTATAATCATAGCATTGATAGTATAACTAACTTGTTTGTCAGTTATATATTTTGTTTTAAGAATATTAATTAAGTTAAATATTTTATCAGTAATAAGTTTAGTTTGTTTGGTTTGTTTACTATCTAAAGTAAACTAACAACTAAGAAATTTAAACAGTATACTAGATTGTTATAGTTGTAAAGAGGAGTTAATAAAGTCTAGTTGAGATAGTTTTTTAGTGTTTGTAATAAGAACTGATTTGTGAGAGTTAATTTGAATATTGGCTATTTGGTAGAAGGATATTGCTGTTTGTGTTATTAATTCTAAATTTGTTTTAGAATTAGTAATCCAAAGAGTGTCATCCATATAGGCTAGTACTGAAAATAATGTAGTAAGCTTATTATATAGAGTCTTTGCAGATTACAAACATAGTATAGCCTTAGTGAGAAGTAAAGATCTTGTTTATAAGAGGGTCATAGTAGATATACTATAGTAAAGAAATAATTGTTTCTCCTTGGTCAATACCATTATTTACATTATATAGCTCAGTAAGTCCTAAATTTGTAATTACTCTGTTTGTATAATTAGTTAAAAGATTAGTTATAATATTGCATAATTGAAAAGGGATTTGAATTTGTTCTAAAACAAGTTTAAGAAGATCAAGATTAACAAAGTTGTAGGCTTTACTCATATTCTGAGATAGAAGCTATAGCTCTTTTTTGTTGTAATATGAATCTTTAATTATATTGTTTAGTATATGAATAGGAGTATTTGTACTGTTACCTGGCAAAGCTATTTAATTATTTGGATTAAGAATTTTGTAAGGGATGAAGATTTAAATACTTTAGTACTAAAATTAAAGTCAATAACAACTTTACTCAAATTGATAATAACATAGTTTCAAATATCTGAGTAGAAAATATTGAGAACAAACATAATAATTATGATAATATTAGGGTTGTTAATAGAGTACTTCAAGCTATAATAAAACATATAAATCACTCTAGTTTTAAACTGGAGTAGTTTATATGTTTTATTATAGCTTGAAGTACTCTATTAACAACCCTAGATAATATATTTTGGATAATTAAACCAGAAATTAAGGAAATTTTTTACAAACAACAAAAACTTATTAAAATTTCTATTTCTTAAAACAAAACTACATATATTAAAAATAACTTAAACAATGAACAAACTACAAAAATATCTAATTTTCTAAAAGAAAATAATAATATTTTTGCTACTAAGTTCTCTGAACTTAAACAATCAAATATAGTTTATTATACTATTAACACTAACAATAATTATTCTATTAAACAATGACTCTATTGAGCTATCTCAAATGAACAACAATATATTAAGAAGGAAATTGACAAAATGCTAGAAGATAGAATAATCTAAAAATTAATAAGTCCTTAGAGTTCTCTAGTTGTACTCATTAAAAAGAAAAATGGAAAACTTCAGTTTTGTGTTGATTATAGGAAACTGAACTCTATAACCAAAAAGAATACTTATTTTTTACTTAGAATTGATAAAATATTAGATAACTTAAACAAAGCAAAATGGTTCACTTCTCTTAATTTAGCTTCTGGATATTAGCAAGTTAAAGTTAAAGAGCAGAACAAGGAAAAAACTGTATTTATTACAAAATTTAGGCTTTATGAATTTAATATAATGCCTTTTGGATTTCGTAATACACCTTCTATATTTCAAAGGTTAATGGACATAGTTCTTAAACTAGTACTTTGGAAATATGCTATAGTATATATTAATGATATAAATATATATTTTGAATCATTCGAAAAGCATATCCAACATTTGAATAAGGTCTTTAACTTAATCAAAGTAACAAACTTAAGGGTTAATTCTGAAAAATATTATTTTTATACAAATGAAATGCAATTTTAAGAACATATAATTAGAAGTAAAAGAATCAAACCTAACCTCCAAAAGGTTAACAAACTTAAAAATTTATCTTTTTCTAAAAACTTAACACAACTATATACATTTATTAAACTGGTATCATACTATCGAAGGTTTATTGAAAGGTTTTCTAAAAAGGTAACTTTACTAAACAAATTATTACAAAAGGATGTAGAATTTAAATAGACTCAGAAATGTGATAATATATTTAACTAGCTAAAACAAAATTTAATTACACTACCTATTCTGCAATATCCTAACTATAATGAACTATTATCTTTTTACAGTTGCATCTTATTAAGGCTTAAATGCAGTACTATCTTAGATCAAGGATAATAAAGAATATGCAATTGCATATGCAAGTAGAATATTATCAAAAGCTAAAACTAACTATAGTACTGTTGAATTAGAATGTTTAGCAGTAATATGAGCAGTAAAATATTTTCAACATTATATTTTTAAAACAAGATTTATTCTAATAACTGATTACAAAGTATTACAATAGCTACTAAACTCATATACAATCAATAATAATAAAAGGATAACTTGATAGCAATTAACTCTACAGGAATACCAATATGATATAAAATATTGTGCTAGTAAATAGAATAATAATGCTGATCTCTTCTCATATCTATATGAATATTTAAAAGATAATAGATAAACAACTATATCAAACAATTTATAACTTTCTTATAACTCTCGAATACTCAGTAGACTATTCTAATTTAGAAAAATCTTACTTATAAAAAGAGTTAAAAATTATTTTGTTGAAAACAATATTTTATTTAAAAGAAACAAGAACAAACCTCAATTTGTAATCAAATCTAATCAAAAACATATAATACTCTACTCTCTATATGATAAACAAGGAACATATCTAGGAATTAGCTCAACTTATAACAAAATCAAGTAATAATATTTTTGGCCTAATATATATAATAATATTAAACAATATATTCAAGCCTGTGATATATGCCAATGTTGTAGATATAAAATTATTAGATAAAATCTAATTTCTATTCAAGTAAAAGCTCTATTTTATAGAATTGGAATAGATATTAAAGGACCTTTACTAATTACTAAACAAGCTAACTAGTATATTATAGTTGCTATAGATTACTTAACTAAATAGCCTAAAGCTAAAGCAGTAAGTGATATTAAAACTACTACTATTGCTAACTTTATCTATAATAAAATAATCTATTAGCATGGAATATCTACAATTCTACAATCTAATCAAAAATCTAATTTTATGAATGAAGTTATATGATACTTATATCAAAAATTTTAAATTAAACATCATAAATCATCTGCCTACTGATCTTAAACTAATAGAATAGTTAAATATTTTAACTGAATAATAGGTAAAGCATTAGCAAAAATAGTAAGCTACAAATACAAGAAATAAGATGAAATCCTACTCTCAGTATTACTAGCTTATCAGATAATAAAACACTATTACAAAATTCTCTCTATTCTCTTTAGTATATAGAAAAAAAGCTAAACTCCTTATTAAAACAATAGTTAAAACTTATTATGATGATAGTAAAACTAAAATAGCTCTAATTAAATAAATATTTAAAATTGAGGATATTCTTTTAAAACAACAATATGAAGCTTTCGATAATATACAGAAAGCTTAATTACTTAAAAGGAAAAATATAACAAAAATATTAAAATTAATAAACTAAAAATAGGTGATAAAGTTTTAGTTGCAAAATCTCAACTTAAAAACATTTTCTCAGCAAAATTAAAGAAACAATTTATAGGACTATATATTATTAATAATATTTTACTATTAGAAGTTTATAAACTTTGAATATTTAATAGTAAAGAGATTAAGGATCTTGTATATAAGAATAAGTTAAAATTATATTTTGATCAACCAATTAGTGATCTATCTATATCACAAATTATCATACTACAAACTAATAATAATCAGTAGATCATATTCTTTAAATTTTTATAAATATAGCCTATATCCCTCAAAAACTTACAAAAATCCTATACCTTAAAAACTATATTATTCTTCTCTCTTTAAAAATTTTTCTTATTTTTCTAACTAATTTTTTTTAATCTTAATATTTATACTATTATATCATGAGTAATTTTTGGGATGAAATTAATATTCTAAATATTAATAAAATTTATAATCCTTTACAAAATTTCTTAGATAATTAGAATATCTTTACAGAAAATACTAATGAAGCTTTGAATAATTTGAGAACTAATAATGAAAATATATCTTTAAGTTTACAATATAAAACTACTCAAAATGAAGTATCTAATGAATAGCAAAATTTGAACATAGATAAAAACTTTGAAAATAGTTCTGATGAAAGCTTCTCTGATGAAAATAATGAACAATCAATAATTAATAAAATCAAAAAGGACTTACAACATGAAGTTAATAATAATACCAAATTTACTTCACCTTTTGAAGGCTACAAGGATTATAAAACTTTCAAAAATATTATTTATAAAATCGAACAACTTGGAAAACATAAAGGTATCAACAAGTAAAAGTTAGAAATAGTCTACTGCCTTAGTGAACTAAAGACCAAAAACTAACTCAATAATAAGTTTATTTGAAAAATAAGGAATAAACTAACAGTAAAGTTCAACAAATCCAAATCTGCAAAAATTTGGAGGTATTCACTTTGGATATACTAAATTTATATAAAATTTGGTTTGAGACAACTTTACAAAGCAAAATTTATTAGTACTCAACTTATTGAAAAACTAAAACAAACTCAATTTGATCAAATTTTAGTTTAAAAATCTGTTTATTAAAAAAAAATAAATAAATAAATAAAAAAAATTCTAAAATATTTACAACAATTCTTATTATATTTTGCAAATTTTATCTTCCAACTCTTCTATTCTATCTCTTAATTTCTTCTTCTCCCCCTTTTAATAAACTTTATATCTATTAAATTTCTTCTGCATATAATATAATTGATTCTTCTTTTTCTCTATACTATTTTTATAACTCATCATTATCTCATAAACTATATCTACTCCTTTTACTTCTAAAAAATTTTTATACTCCTTAACTTTCTTCTCTAACTCTCTAATTTTCTTATCTTATTTATCTTCTTCTCTATTTCTCCTTATATTTTCTTTACTGAACTACTCATTTCATCTTTTCTTTAATTCCTTATTCTTTTGTTCCAATCTTCTAATCTCTCTACTTACTAACTTCAAATTATTTCTAACTCTACTTTCTCTTTATCAATATCTATTAGTATTTTCTCTATTTGCTTTTCTAAACTCTCTATCATATTCCTCTTCAACTTATCAGTCTTCTTAAGCAACTCTATATTTATAAGCTCCTTCTCTATCAAATCTCTTTGCAACTTCTTATTTTTACAATCTACTTTATCACACCTCTCTCTATTATTTTTCAACCTAAACTATACCACTTTTTTATACCTCTCTGTCAAAATAAATAACATATCTTTTTCTTTTTCTTTTTTTTTTCTTTCTCTTTTTCTTTTTTTTTTCTAAACATTTTCTTTTTGTATCTCTACTTTTCTCTCTCTTTTAATTCATCCAACTCTTGTTTCAAAAATCTGATCTCTGTATCTCTCCTTCTTACTTCTTCTTCTTTTTCTTTTTCTTTTTTTTCTTTTTTGATTCTAAAGTTAAAATTTTATTTTAATATATTTTTTATTTTTATTTTTCTTTATTTTATTATAATACCTTTTAACACTTCTATTTAGTAACCTTTCTCTTCTATACTGATAACTATACTTTCTCTTGCCTATTTATTTTAGTCAGTAAATTTAATTTTTGAATTAATTCAAAGTTAATATACTTTGAATTTCTTCTTTAAGTTAAACAAACTTTAATTTTAAACACTTAAAAATTTTTAACTTTATTAGTTATTTGTCAACAAATTTGAATATTCTTAAGGAGTGCATATAAAAATTTTATTATATACCTACTTTAGTAAAGTAGTATAAATTTGGAACTATGAGGAACTATGAAGCTAGTGGTTATAGATTCAATACCTGCTAGTTGACAGTTAATCTACTGATAAGTTATGGTAGTGAACTAGTACTAAGTAGAATTTCTTTTTATTCAAATTAATTAAATTATTTTTATTTTATTTTATTTTATTATTTTATTACTTTGATATACTTTAAATATA